TCCTTCTTCATGTGTGGAATTTTATATTTGTTGTGTCATCTACTTTTCATTATTTCAATAATGCACCCTTGTAAGCTTAAGAATACTTTATTCAATCTTTCGGCTCACAATTCTTCAAAAGATAACACCACTGCATTCACTAGCTCATCCACATTGGTGCAATCATTCTCAATTTGGATACTTTGTATAGCCCGAAACCATCCAAGGTCATTGACATTCAAGTATGGAGAGTTTGGAGGTTGTTGCACTAAAATAATATCAAACCCATCACTTGTGGCAGCCTTTCCGAAGTCAGCATCATCATTTCTTATGTGTGGCCTTGCATTATCTTGTTGTATATAAATTCTCTTTGTCATGTTGGCTGACCATTTCATCTTTATGGCTGGGATAATCTGTCAAGGCATTATAATATAAATAATTGACATATACAACCTTTCAAAGTTAGTAAATGCATATAGTGAAATATAATAAGTTGGAGTGTGCTAGTTCGAATAAACATTACTACAATCTGACATTATTTATTCTAACATTCGATAAATTCAAACAATTGTATACTTACATTGTTGATTAAACAAGTCTTAATAACATCCTTCGTAATAGCTTGAATGGGTTTAGTGATTAGTGTGCCTACTGCACGGTTTTTACTAGTTCTTTTTGCTGCTTCCTTGTATGTGAAAGGGAATATGCCAATTTTTTCATAAAAAATCAAGGAACCATCCACCCCATATATTGATCTTGAGACTGCACATATGAACATAATCTTGATAATAAATGTCTTAGTTTTGGCATGTTCTATGTGGATATTCCTCATTTGGAGTCATATAGAATCTATGAGAACCTTTAGTCATATAAAACCACTTATCATCAATGTGTTGCTTGTTGTATGTTAATATTGTGTTTTTATATTCTCTTCGGTTGTTACAATTATTTATTGTTATTGAATATAATTATAATACGGAAAATTAATTTATTAAATTGTATTCATAACACAATATAATTTTTTTAACTATTACCAAAAATTATGAAATGAAATTTTATTAGAAGATAAAATTTTCACTACTAGAATGGCTTATTACTAGTTAAATATTTTAATCTATTAAATCTAAGTATAAAATAAATTTATTAATCATTATAAAATTTAAATAATATTTTTAAATTATCAATAACATTATCAATATAAAAGATAAATAAATTAATATCATAAATTACTATCGTTAATTTACTAAACCTCATTAAATTCCACTGCCTTAAATACCGTGCCCACCACAAAAGGTGTCAATTGTGGTGGGACGGAGAGAGTATAAGGGTATTTGTAATGTTATGTAGATAGTACAATTACTTAAAAAAAAATAGATACTTTGTTATGGGATGGACCAAAATGAAAAAAATGGATAAATTATTAAGTAACGAAGAGAGTAATAAAAAATAAAAAATCACGATTCATTTAATACTAATGTTGACGGCTCAGGTCTTGTTTAATTTTGTGTCCAAATTAAGATTATACTATTCAATCGCAATAATTTTTAATGTAATTGTTTACTTTTTGCATATCAATTTTAAAAATATTAATTTTTTATAAAAATAATAAAAAATAGAAGTACTAAAACAAAAATTAACCTTTAAATTTATTTGTTTTTTTATTGATCTTTTTGAAATATTTTTAAGATACATAAGTATGTTTTATTTAAATAAAAATTATAATTATTAAAAAAGAAAAAGAAAAATAAATACATTGAGGAAAGACAGACTTAATAAATACATTAAAAATAAATATATATTTTTATATAACATATCAAATTAAATATTATTTAAATTAAAATTTTAATCAACAACTCAAACCTAAATATTCACTAATATTCACCAAACATTTTTTTTTTATGTTGGTTACAAATGTTGAATTAAAATTTTAATTTAGCTGTGTACTTAAACAACAAACTCTATGCTAATGGACAATAGACGGTATAACGACAGACATAACACAACATGCGTTAATATAATATAAATAATAGTTAATTTTAGCACATAACATACTCTCATTCAAGACACATTATAGTTATGAACAAACATGACATGTTTATGTTACAAATAACACATATTACATGTAATAAAGACATGTATTTGTTTCTGTATTTTAGGTATTACTGATTTTTCAAATTCATCACCGTAATCCTTCCCAACTTTTCTAGATCTCTTATGAAATATTTTATAGGATATAATTATACAATTTTACTAACATATTTAAAGAAAAAAACATGAGATTTCAATCATGTTAAACATGAGCCTATGGTTTACGTGTGATCAATCAATTTTTCTTTTGGTAAATTGTTTTTTTAAGTATCGTAATCATTTTAGTCCCGTAAGTGGAACATGTTGCAAACTAGTTTCATAAGTGAAAAAATTTCGTTGTTTTAGTCTTTCGGCGCCGCCGGAGACGCCCGCGTGGCTCGCCGAAAGCCACGAGTCCGCCAGGTGTCCCGAGGTCAGCGACACCTGGCGAACACGTGGATTTTATTTTTATTTTTTTAAATTTTTTTCAATTGGACCAAATTTAAAATTTAAAATAAATTTTTTAAAAAATGAAAAAAAAAATAATAAAATCCACATGTCTGTTATCTGGCGGACACGTAGCCTCCGACGAGCCACGCGGGCGTCTCCGGCACCGGAGGACTAAAACGACGAAAATTTTTCACTTATAAGACTAGTTTGCGACAGATTCCACTTAAGGAATTAAAATGACAAGGAGATCCAGTTATGAAAAACAGTGTATCCTTTTTCTTTTTACAAATTTTTTAGTAATATTATATTCAAAAAGTATGATATATACATAATGTTAAGATAATATAATATATATTTTATCCACTTATAAAAAAATCATAATTCGATTTAAAATATTAGTTTTTATATTAAATTTTAAAATGTCTGGGATAAAAAATATTTCTTATAAAAAAATTATAATTCGATTTAAAATATTAATTTTTATATTAATTTTTAAAATGTCTGGAAAAAAAAATATTTCTAACTAAATATATAAAATAAATCCACATTATTTTTATTTTTCATAAATTAAATAATCTTCCAATTTAAATATGCATTACATATATTTATTTATTTATAATTAAAGTGGAGTGTTGACATTATCCTATTGATAATGATGCACTCCCAATACCAACAATACATTTATTTTATTTAACTATTTATACCTGATACTTACCAAATATTTCTATAAATAATCATAATAAAAATTGGAAATTCAAGTAATGATTCATTATTGCAATATCATAGTTCCAATTAAATACTTCCTCCTTCCGTCGTTTAAATATATTATCATTTTTTTTTTACTGTCATTTAAATTTATTCTTATTTTTTTAGTAAACGGATACTACTGTTTCTATTTTTTTTTTTTTTTACTCAAAAAGATAAAAGTTTCTATTTTTATTTTTTTAAAAAAACCGGTATATGGTCAAATATAATTAAATTTATGGCAAAATTTTTTCGAGATACGGAATTACGAATTCGAACCATTGGTATTATGACATTTCTTAACTAAATTACCAAATGAGTCTTTCATTTTCTATTCCGATGAAAAAAAATAAAAACAATAATTGATTTTGGTGTATTGAAGACTATAGCCTAATGTCCATTATATAACGATTAATAAGTTATTTATAATCACTTAATTGATATGTTATCTTCGGAATTTACTTGGTATGAATAAGGTAGTAGATCGTCTTGCTCTATACTTAAACTTTGTAATTTAAATCAATCAAATAAATTACTGATTTATTTTTATAATTAAATTACGTAATTTAAGTCAATTAAATAAATTTAAATAACTAATATAATTGTACATTATTATTTACTCATATTAAATTAGAAAATTTATAGTTATTTGATTGGCTTATTTTCAGAATTAAGTAACATAAGTTAAATTAATTAGAATAACTAATATAGTTTATTTAGTCATATTTCCTAACCGTACATAATTTATTGACTTATTTCTATAAGTAGATTGTAGTCCCTCGTTCCCACGTAATTTGTTCCTATTTTTTATTTTTGTCTGTCCCAAATAACTTTTCTTTTTTATTTTTAAAATATAATTATGCACTTTAATCGCATTTTAAATTTTAAATTTTATAATTTTCTTAATTTTAATTAAACTATTCATTTATCTTAATCCTAATATGTAATTATTTTTACTAATACAATTCTTAATTATTTACTAATTATACTTTACCTAAATTCACGTGTCTACGGTAATTAAGTGATTAGGTAATACAATTGCACATTATTATTTACCTTAGAAAATTTATATTTTCCTAATATATAATTAGTACTTACTAAATATATATTTTGACGTGAACTCTAACTTAATTTATTTGTTTATATTTTTAAATAAAAAATATTTTACTTCCTCATTCATGCAAAGATACCAAAAGTGATACTAACAAAGAAAAAGGCAAAAAAAAAATAAATGATACATATTACTTTCATCTTATTCACAAAGTGTATAAAATATGTAAATAAATATTTGATTGTGATTTTTTAAAAGTAATAATAATAAATCCAAAATATTTTATAAAAAAAATTCAAATATTTATTATAAAAAGTCCTAAAGTCATTAAAAAAATCAAATATTTCATCGAAAATAATATATTTTATATTTTTAACGCAATTCTTCATATCATATACAAAAATAAATAAGAATTTTTAAATACAATTTTATTTTACTTTACAAGGTCGTGTTCGATCTGACTTTAACACCACGAAAGTTTATATTACATCCACGTCAGCATATTTCATTAAAAATTTAACGTGGGATTAAAAAATAATAATTTATATTTTATATAAGACTAATTTTGATAATTAATTTTAAATTAGATAAAAAAAAGAAAAAAAAATTAATTGGACCAATATTAATTTTTACTCAAATTCTAATTATATATCCCAACCGCCGCCTCCACCAGATTAGGTTTACTCCTCTTTCTTTTCTTCTTCCCCGTTCTCTCCTTGCTGAAAATTTAGGTGCAGGAAATATGGGAATCAATGGCGCCGGCTTGGTTCGTCTACTAGTGAATAGCAAGTCGATTTGGAAGTGTTGAGTTCTTCCACTTAGACAGAAAGGTTTGCATTACATGTTAACCTTCTCTTCGCGCTGATTATGATTATTGTGATCTCTCTCTGTATTATTTAATTTTCAGATTAGATTAGGTTACAGTTTGGATTTAATGCGTTCGTTTCGTTGCGTATTGATCGAGAAGTTAGTTGAAAACGAACGTAGTTGGAGGGTTTTTTTTTTTTTTTTTTTTTCTGCCTTTAATTATTAATTTCAATATGAAGGAGAATCTGAGGCTGTGATCTCTAGAGAGAGGTGAAAAAGGATATCGGAAATGGCGATGGAAAATACCTAATTGCACAAATGTATTTTGCCCAATGTTTCGTTTCGTTTAGTTGGGTCTGGATTTTGGGTTAAGATTTGAATAGTAAAACTTTTAAACTGTAATAGTTGTATAATGTGAAATAAATAGACGTTGATATTAATTTTTAGTATAATAAAAAATAGGTGTTATGATTTGATATTTTTTGAAAAAAAAATTTGTATGAAGAGTAGAATTTTGCCAAAATCCTTTAAAACGAACACACCCTTAGTTATTCTTGCTTCAGTTTTAGCCATAGCTATAATAAGATCTTTGCACGGGAAGGGTTACTGCGCTGGTGTTCTCAAAATAATACACTTAAAATATAAAAATAATACATATTTTTATTATATTTAGAATCTACTCTTTCTAATAAAAATACACTTAAAACCTTGCATGTGCTGTTAATTAATTGATGTGTTATATTTGTATTATATTAATATAAATAATATGTTGTCAATAGTAATATTGTGTGATTTTTATAAGTTTATTGTGTGTTGTTCAGCACTATGGCTGCCGCCTTCTCTAACATTTATGTGTATCTTTCTTTTCAGTTGTTTCCCTTAATTCATTGTATAATTAGATACCTATTTACTATTTTGTACATATGTATATAGTTTTTATTTTATATTTGGCTATCTTCGGTATGGCTAAATTGAGATCAATGTTCGAAATAATTTTGTCTTCTCCATATTGCTATATGTTGTCTAAGATTTTTAACTATTTACCTTCCTAAGTTGACGTTTACTTCTCGCAGGTTTCATGCTCTCCTCGTCGGCCCGTGATTTCTCCGACGTGGGCTACTCGCCGGATGACCTGACATCTGACGATAAGGAACGCAGGCGGGCTCGGCTTGAATGCGTTTTCAGACATGCCCTACGATGAGGTCAAGAAGAGGCGCTCTGGACATGAACTTTACCCATTGCCGCCATCGAACAATAATAGGAACAAGAAAAGGAATGGCTCTCTTAAAAAATCAGGGTATGTTACTTATACAATTCCTTGAACATTTTGTTATTATTTTTTTTTGTTTAGATTGTATATAACTTATTGCATGTAATGGTGACATGGATTGAAGCTTGGGATCGGATCAACAACACCAAACGATGATGGGATTCGAAGAACATGTTTAAGGAGAGTAATTGGGTATGTATGAGTTCTTGGTTTAGTTTTGTCGTGTTCATTTTGCAGCCTTGTCACTTCTACAAAATAAAGGGTATTTAAACCCGTGTTATCATGTTTAGCACCGCACGTAAATAATAGTTTCCCGGTTTACTCATACGCCACTTTACTTCTTCGGTAAAAATTTACGAACAATTTTTTTTACGGTCATATTAACAAATAATAATAATAATTAGTTTATCACTATTTTTTTTACTTATTAATTATTTCTTTATCAAATTTTTTAATGAATTTATTATAATAATTTTATTTAATTTTTTACATATTCCATTTTAATATTTAAAATATAATATTATTAGTCTCGGTATAAGAAATACACAGCCTTGTTAAAAAAATATACACGGTCGTGTTATAACACTATTACCGTATATGGCCGTAGATACCAACACGACAATACGGCCAGGTTTAATTGTGCACGGTCGTGTTTTGTCTACGTCAGCTGACACGTCAATTTCGTCAAACATTAGTGTTGGTTTTTAACCGTGGGACTAAAATTGATTGAAAGTATTTATAATGAAAATGATTAAAATTGATTAATTTTGTTTACATTGATTCTTTTTCTCTTTAGTCTTCATGTCCAACTAAATCTACATAATTTTACTGGGACCGAAGGAGTAATTTATTACTCCTCTCATTCCATTTAATTTATCAATTTTTTTTTTTAATTTTCGTTCGTTTTAAATAATTTGTTTTTTTTTTAAAAAAAAATATATTATACACTTTAATTATATTTTAAAATTCATAATATATATTTTTTATTTTAATTAAACTATTTATTCATTTTAATATATAATTATTTTTATTAAATCATAATTATTTTTACTAATACATTCATTAATTACTTACTAATTATAATTACCTAAAACTCTGTGTCTAAGTTAAATGAGACAAATTAACCGGAACAGAGAAAATATAATTTTATTTTTTAAAAAATACAGTAATATTTACAAATACAGTATTTAATATTAAGTAAGATAAGAAATTTGGAAATGTATTACACAAATAATGTGAAATATTTTACATAAACAGCGAAAATTATATTAATGTTGACTTTGATAATATAATAAAGGATAAATTGTTTTTTTAGTCCCGTAACTGGACCCTTTTATCATTTTAGTTTCGTAAGTGAAGTCTGTCGCAAACTAGTCCAATAAGTGAAAAATTGTCGCTGTTTTAGTCCTCCGGCGCCGGAGATGCCCGCGTGGCTCGCCGGAGGTGACGTGTCCGCCAGGTGTCGCTGACCTGGCGGACACATGGACTTTTTTTTATTTTTTTAAAACTTAGTTTTAATTTATTTTAAATTTTATTTGTATTTTTTTTATTTTTTTATTTGGTTCAATTAAAACAAAATAAAAAAAATGAAAAAAAAATTAAATACGTATCCGCTAAGTGTCGCTGACCTGGCGGACACGTCACCTCCGGCAAGCCGCGCGGGCGTCTCCGGCGCCGGAGGATTAAAACAACGAAAATTTTTCACTTATGGGACTAGTTTGCGACAGCTCCATTTACCGGACTAAAATGATAAATGGTCAGACTAAAAAAATAGTTTACCCTGTAATAAAATATATATTAAGGGTGTGTTTGTTTGGGGGTTTGGATTTTGGATTGGGATTTGAATAGTAAAAATTTTGAATTTGAATAGTTGTATGATGTGATATAAATAGGTGTTGATGTGATGTTTTGAGTGTAAAATTGATTTTTATTATAATATAAAAAATAAAAAATAAGTGTTTGATTTGATGTTTTTGAGGAGAAAAAATTGGATGAATAGTTAAATTTAAATCCAATCCTCCAAACAAACACACCCTAAGAATATTGTTGAAGAAAAATTGAACAAACAAACTCACAAGATTTATTTATTTACAAGTGTTCTGAACACACTTTTTTCTTTTGCATTTTACAAATTATAGTAATAAATAAATAAATAAATTGATTAAATTTCTATACAAAACTCATTCTTGATACCTAAATTTTATACAAAAACATTTCAACAACTATTTTTTTTCTTCTTCAATAAATTAAATTAAATTAAAATTTGAAAAATGGCAAAAACACTGTTAAAAACATTCTTTTAGATAATGAATCCATATTTCAAGTTTGGTAAATTCCAAAATTCTTGATTCAAATTTTCAATCCCAATATATATATATCCTTCCAACGAATCTCTTCTGAACATTAATTTTATTATGGCAAATTTACAAAGCTTATATTTAGCTTTAACAAAACTTGCCAAATGATATTAATTAACTTACTAACTTCAAATTTTTGTAATTTTTCCATATTTGTTGGGTTTTATCTACGCAATATTTTTTTAAAATTATTTTTAATATTATTCAATTTTTTAAAGATCGGAATATATTTTTTCTCTCTAAGATATCACATCAAATACTATTTTTTTAAAAAAAAATTCTACAACTTTTAAAATCTTCTTAATTTATACTACGTTTTGATATAATAATTAATACTCCCTCCGTCTCGGAAGTAAGTATACATTTGCTTTTTGCACGTAGTTTTAGAAATATTATTATTATATTGGGATATAGTAGGAATAAAGTATAAATGACTAAAATAACCTTAATAGTATGTGTGATATGAAGGTAATGACATTTGTGTAATATATTGTAAATTGTAAGTGTATTTATAATGTTAGGTAGACAATACATTTACTAAAAAAGGAAATAGATACTTTGTTATGGGACGGACTAAAATAAAAAAATAGATATTTTGTTATGGGACGGATGGAGTATTTAAAGATTAATACGCAAAAAGTAAATAAGATCTTTAGAGTCACACGAAAGTAGTATTTACAGGGATATTTTGTTAGAAAGAAAAAAATATTTTTGGTAAAACGTATAATTTAAATAGTAAAATTTGAGAATTTAGTGCATAAGAAATATACTTTTATAGTTTTTGTTAAATATATTTAAAATAATTAATTATTACCGAGCATAAAAATGAAACATCTACTCCCTCCGTCTCATCATAACAAAGTATTTATTTTTTCATTTTAGTCTGTTCCATAATAAAGTATCTATTTTTTTATAATAATGATATTATATACCTAACATTACAAATATCCTTACAACTTACAATATATTACACAAATGTTATTACATTTATATCAAACAATACTAATAATGTTATTTTAATCATTTTTACTTTATTTTCACTATATTCCAATATAATACTACTCCTTCCGTCCTAGATACCATGTCCACGTTGCCGTTTTTGTCCGTCCCACATACCATGTCACTTTCCTTTTTTTGAAAATTATTACGCATTTTAATCTCATTTTAAATTTTTTAATTTTATTTTTTTTAATTTTAATTATACTAATTAGTTATCTTAATCTTAATTTATAATTATTTATATTATAGGATAATTATTTTCACTAATACATTCTTAATTATCTACTAATTACACCCCTTCTAAAATACCGTATCTACAGTGTAGCAGACACGGTATCTGGGCCGGAGGGAGTAATATTTATAAAATTCGGTGAAAAAGCAAACGAATTAGTTATGAGTCGCAAGGAATATTAAAGAACAAACAAAAAAAAAATATTCATATGTGATAGAGAGGGAATAAGTATTTCTTAAATTTTTATACCTAACCAATTTTATATAATTTTATAGGACAAAATGAGTATTTATTAGCTATACAAAGATAACTAACTAGCCGCATATCTCCATAGGGGATATATCATGTAGGATGCCAACTCAACTTTTTTTTTTTTTTTTTTTTAATAATATTATGGATATGATTGTAGAGATATTTATGTGATATATATATATTATTTTACTAAATTTATATTTATACAATTTATATTTAGTTTATATAAATTTTTTATTGTCTAAATAATAATAATATATATATAAAAATATATATATATATTGTTGAGTTGAAAATAAATTATAATATGTAAAAAAAAAATATATGATACTGAGATGAAAAGATATTTTTGTGAACAGTTTTGTTGCGGATATCCTCGAGGTCATAGCATTTTTGTCATATCAATTATTTTTGTTGAAAAATTAATTAATTTTATTTTAAAATATAAAAATTGATTAATGTTTTTTTAATACATTGTTGATTAGTAAAATATACAATAGTAGCAAATTTTACAATTATTAATCTTGGTCGTATTGATTTATTTTTTTAAATCAATGGCCTAATTTAATTTAAAATTTATCAATTTTAATTTTATGGTAAATGCGACCGTATTGGATGACTCAAGACTGAGCAATCTAGACAACCAAATACGATTTGTTTATTGTCCTGCATTTAACATAGCCATGTTCATTACATTGCACTTAACATAGCTATATTCATACCCGAATCATTTTCTGAATACAGCCGTGTTTCTATAAATATATTGTGAACATGACTGTATTATAATACTAACAGGTTTACAGTCGTGTTCTCCTGTGAATAGGAGCATGAATACGGCATCAACACGGTAGGGTTGGCTGACTAAGTCACCCGGTCACTTTTGGAAGTCATCCGTGTTTAATCCAACAAGACCTGATACAGTCAACTATTAAAATCGATATTTTATTTTAAATATAATCAAAATTGATAAAACTAAATTAATTAATTAGGCCAAAATTAATACTCTTTTCATCCCCGCTAATTTGTTCTCTTTAGTTTAGACGTAAACTTATAAATAATTAGTAAGTAATTAAAAAGTATATTAGTAAAATAAGTATAATTTAATAAAATAATTATAGATTAAAATTAAAATGATTAAATAGTTTAATTTAAATTAAAAAGATTATAAAATATGAATATTAAAATGTGATTAAAATTTATAATTATATTTTAAAAAAGAAAAATTAGAGGAAACGAAAATAGAAATAATAGACAAATATGAGACTAAAAACAATTTTTTGCTTACACGATACTCCTTTCGTCTAAAAAAAAAAATTGACTTGTTTTTCTATTTTCGTCTGTCTCAAAAAAATTGTCTCATTTCTTTATTTAATAACCGTGATCTCTACTTTATAACAAAATTATTTCAATTTTTTCAAGTTACCCCTAATTATTACTCCCTCCGTCCCATGTAATATTGGTGTATTATTGTAGACACGAGAATTTAAGTAAAGTATAATTAGTAAGTAATTAAGAAATGTATTAGTAAAAATAATTATTATTTAGTAAAAATAATTATAGATTAAGATTAAGATAAATAAATAGTTTAATTAAAATTAAAAAAATTATAAAAATTTAAAATTTAAAATGCGATTAAAATACATAATTATATTTCCAAAAATAAAAATGACAAGTTATGTGGGACGGACAAAAATAGAAAATAAAGACAAATAGTTTATTATTTACTTTACCCCAAACTCAATTTTATTCCTAATTTACAGCCAATTTTTTAATTTCTTGCATCAAAAACTCAAAATAAATTAGGTTTAAAATAATATTTTCCGACTCCGGCTTTGAAGTCCGGCAAGTTCCGGCAAACTTCCGGCGAATATTTTTACGGAGTATTATTTTAACCTATTTTTTAAAATCTTTTAAAAAAAAACAAGGTCTACTTTATACCCACGTTCAAATCAAATACTCTTATTTCCTTATTATGCTGTGAATCACCCTGTAAGACGTGTCGGCGGAGGGAGTGATATAGTTTTGTGTTTGACAAATGGAGCTGTAGAGTCTTTTTCAGTTCTTATACAGAGAGCACAAAGCTGCTACTGCCCGTCCTTTCCAACGAATCCTCAAAGTGTTTGAATTCGGAGATGCATTTGAGCGAGAACGAGGGGATTGAGGGCAAAATCTTCGTGGTGGCCGGCGGCCTGGGCTTCGTAGGCGCCGCCTTGAGCTTGGAGCTAATCAGACGAGGGGCGCGTGAAGTGCGGGCGTTTGACCGTCGCGACGAATCGCCGTGGTCCGACGATCTCCGTCGCCAGGGGGTTAGATGCATTCAAGGTGCAATCGCTTCTAAATATTTGGATCTTTGTTAGCCTTCCGATATCTTCAATTTGATTTATCCAATTTGTTTTTAAGATATGCTGCAGGAATTTATGAATTGATTTTGTGCGATTGAATTGTATTTCGTCGGTTAGGGTTTCATGGTAGATTTGTGCCTTTTGCAATTGGTCAACGTATTACTCACGAATTGATAATGTATGAATCTGAAGTCCTCGCGAATCTTATATGACAATCCATGACTTTTTGCGAGTGAATTTTGCTGTAGATTCTTCGATTTACATTTCACAGTTGATGTTGATGACACAAATTGGGTTGGAATTGAAGATTCATTCTTAATATTTCAAGGAAATGGAAGAAACGGATAGTGAAACAATAAAAAAAACACTTGCAGATTTCACTTATTATCTTGACACTGCTTTAACAAGGAATCATTCGTTTTTATATGTTTAGTTTATGACTTTAGGGAGTTTCTTGATGTTCGAATATGCTGATTTTAGAATGGTTAGCTACCATAGACGATTATGTCCAACACTGCTCGATTTGATATGGCGAAATGATAATTCTTTTGTATACACTTTCAACTAGCAAAGAATCTATGAGTTGATTTTAGAATGTTTAGTTACCATAGACGATTATGTTGAACACAGCTTGATTTGATATGGCGAAACAATCATTCGTTTGTATACACTTTCAAATAGTAAAAAATCTATGAACATGTCTATGTATTTGTGTTTATATATATATATATATATGTAATGTATATTGTAAAACAATCTTTGGAGTAATGTGATGGGATATAAGAAGGATGAGGAGAAGATTCAATCGTAAACATGTTTAATGGCTACGCTTCGAGTATTTAAAAACGATTAATAGAAGATTTTCTGAAGTATTGTACGAGCAGGAGTTGTTTCCAATATGTTTTCTTATCCTTTTTCGCTGGTAATGTTATTCGGAAATGCTGTAAAATATAAGCTGCGCAATTTTCAGGGAATGTTTCTAAGAAACAAGATGTAGACGAGGCTTTAAGTGGTGCGGATTGTGTTTTCCATCTTGCATCTTATGGTATGTCCGGAAAAGAGATGCTTCAGTACGGCCGTATCGACGAGGTTAACATAAACGGAACCTGTCATATTTTGGATGCTTGCCTGGAGAACGGTGTTCGTAGACTTGTCTATGTCAGCACATACAATGTTGTATTTGGTGGGAAAGAAATTGTAAACGGAAACGAATCCTTACCCTACTTCCCCATTGATGACCATGTAGATCCTTACGCCCGAAGTAAATCTATTGCCGAACAGCTCGTCCTTAAGAGCAACGGTCGACCCTTCAAGTAAGTTTTTTCCTAGCTTTTGTTGAAACCATTAATATGCTTGAGTCTGTAGTTTCGTGGCTTACAGTTTTTTTTACAGAGACAAGACTGGAAGACTCTATTCCTGTGCTGTTCGCCCGGCTGCCATATACGGACCGGGTGAAGAACGACATTTTCCGAGGATCATCAAACTCGCAGAGTCGGGTCTTATGCTGTTCAAAATTGGCTCTCCCGACGTGAAATCCGACTGGGTGTACGTCGACAATCTTGTTCTTGCACTACTCTTAGCTAGCATGGGTCTTTTGGATGACATTCCCGGCAGAGTCGGAAATCCGGTCGCGGCAGGACAGGCCTACTTCATTTCCGATGGTAAATTTGTTCTTCAGTCTTCGTTTTTCGACTCTTTGTTATAATACTAAACATCGGTATTCTTTTCAGGTTCCCCGGTCAATAGTTTCGAGTTCCTCCGACCGCTGTTCAAAAGCTTCGATTACGACTTGCCTAAGTTATCGTTGTCGACTCCACATGCCCTCTTGATCGGAAGATTTTTCTGGGTTCTATACTCCATTATGTACCCGTGGCTCGATCGACGGTGGCTCCCGCAGCCTTTAATCCTCCCCGCCGAAGTGTACAAGGTTTCTCAAACTATTCGACTCCAATAAACGATAATCAAACACACGTCGACTAAACGATACTCGATTTCTTCAATTTTTTTGTCGATTTCAGGTAGGGGTGACTCATTACTTCTCGTTTCTAAAAGCGAGGGAGGAGCTGGGGTACCGGCCATTGATCGATCCTCGGGACGGCATGGCGGCGACGATCGAGTACTGGAAGGATAGAGAACGGCTGGGGGTGGAGAAACCGAACATATTGATTCGGGTCGGGATTATTGCGGGAATGTTGCATTTATTCTGTGCTACGTTCTTGCCGAATTTCGGGCCGGTGCCTCTGCTAAGAGCGATCGCGCTGTTCTTCCTGTGGTCGCTTACGGTGGCGAGGGTGGTGCTTGTGGCGGCGGTGGCAGCGCACGTGGGGGAGGGGGTGTATGCTTGGGGGGTGGCGAAGAGGGTGGATCCGGAGAATGCTGGAGGTTGGGGGTGGCAGACATTTTTGTACGGATACCCTTCGTTGAGGCTGCTGTTGAAGAGATCTGCAAATGCTGCTGCTGCTAAATCGACAATATGAATATGAGGCATGTCCAGGTATGTGTTCTGAATTTGTTAGTATTTATTTTGGATGATTAATTTGAAATTTTTTAAAAGTTATGTATGCTTTGTTTAGATAGAGATATTTAAAATTTTGGAAGTTTGAAAAATAAAATAAAAAATTAGTATTTAATTTGATGTTTTGCGAAAGAAAAAAAAAAAAAAAGTATTTGATGTGATAATTTTTTAAAAGATAAATAGTGTCAAATGAGTAAAAATGTATTATGTAAACAAAGAGCGTCGGTTTATTTTTTTTTACGGGTTGGGACTCAGTCGACTATAGGTTCATCCTCACATTATGTGACGGAACGAACGTTGGGGTGGGATTGTGCAGTCAATTTCTTTTTAGTTTGATGGTCTTTGTTCGAATCGATAATTCAATATTTTTAAAAACAAAAAACAAAAAAGCGAAAAATTGTAACGACATGAAGGTGTGTTTTTTTTATTTTTTATAATTAATTTGGGAAGAAATTTGGTTTGAGTTTGATATTTACAAAAATGTTTGATAGGATGATTGTGAAAGAAGAAATTGTATTTTTTTAGAAAGTAAAAATATGTAAGTAATAATATTTTTGGATGAAACAATACCTAAAATTCAATGGCTAAAATTTGGTAAGCAATACCTAATATTTTAGGTATTATAGGATAATAAAATTTGGTTTGGGATTGATACGGAGTCTAAGGTATTGTTTCATTCAAAAATATTATTTTTTATTTTAGTAAAAATATAAGTATAATTAATATTAAAATATGTGTAATTTTATTATAAATTAAAAATATATTATTACGCATACAATTAATATATATACATAAAATATAATGAAAAAGAATATTCATAATTATCTTGCACACTTCTATAAATTAATAAAATTCATGTGTGTCTATTTTAGATGTGCTAACCGAGATAAATTATCATATTGTTTAGAATAAAATGTGTTGGTTATAAAATATATATACATATATAGGCAAAATTACAAAAAAATATCCATATGTAGTTTGTGAAACTTGCTACACAGATATCTACTTCGGGTGTGTTTGTTTGGGGGTTTGGATTTTGAGTTGGGATTTGAATAGTAAAAATTTTGAATTTGAATAGTTGTATGATGTGATATAAATAGGGTTTGATGTGATGTTTTGAATGTAAAATTGATTTTTAGTATAATATAAAAAATGAAAAATAGGTGTTTGATTTGATGTTTTTGGGGGAAAAAAATTGGATGAATAGTGGAAATCCACCAAAATCCTTCAAACAAACACACCCGAAACTAAAATTTCAATTGCATATGATTTTCGAAAATGTTGTGCATTGCCTTCAATCCAATTTTGATTGACGGTGTTAACATTTTGTTTGTATAAACCGTTATGCCCCTCTTAAACCTTTTACTGGGATAAAATCGAGGTAAGGGTATATTGGACTAGGAAGAGAAGTTGAATCAAAATGTCCAGTGGTGTGAAGAGTGGTGTGAAGAGTGAACTTGTGACTCGTCATGGGTTCAAACTCCAACGTGTTTGGGTTCATCTGCCACACATGGTTCGTCTAGTGTGACTTGCCCCATCAGACCTAATTTGCAGAGTATATATTAAGTTTGTTCAAAGATTTACCCAGAGCACTCGTCGAGTAGTTGCTGTAGATTCTCATGTTATATTAAAAACAAAAAAACAAAAAAAAAAGGTAAATCAAAAGGGCATTTGATCGAACACATTGTTGTGTATCATTTTTAGTAGCCACGTGATTTTAAAAAGTAAGTTTGAGTAATAATCAGGGTAGTTTGGAAAAGTAAGAATAATTTTGTTATGAAATGGATACCACAATTACTAAATAATAAAACAAAACAATTGTTTTGAAACAGATTTCCAAAGACACAGCGAATTGAGATTGGTATGCACCTACTGCTAATTAATTTATTTGCTAGGTTATATGTATAATATAAATATATAATACAAAGCATGCTTTGATTGAAAGCATTTCATTTCCAAAAGAACCAATCGTAAAGCATTAACTGAACTACATTCACTTCACTTCACTTGAAAGCAACATTCAAAGATCATCCTTCCTATAAAACCCTTTCATGACTTCATCGAATCATATAATCACATTTCAACCTCTTCCAAACAAAAAATCAAATAAAATGGCTCTTCTTTCTCTTCCCAAGTTACTTCTACTTCTTGCAAGTTTCATGCTCTCCTCTTTGTTGATCTCGGCCCGCGATTTCTCGATCGTGGGCTACTCGCCGGACGACCTGACCTGCATCGACAAGCTCATCAACCTCTTCGAGTCGTGGATCGACAAGCACGGCAAGAAATACAAGACCCTCGAGGAGAAGCTCCACAGGTTCGAGATCTTCAAGGACAACTTGAAGCACATCGACGAGAGGAATAAGGACATCAGCAATTACTGGCTCGGATTGAACGAGTTTGCGGACATGAGCCACGACGAGTTCAAGAAAATGTATTTGGGACTTAAGGCTGATCAAATCCCCGCGAAGAACGGCTCCCCTCGCGAATTTAAGTATAAGGATTTCGACCAATTGCCCAAATCTGTCGATTGGAGGAAGAAAGGGGCCGTAACTCGCGTCAAAAACCAGGGCTCTTGCGGTACGTTACTTATGCAATTTGATCCGGTCAAAATATATTCATATATTTTTCAGCATATAATGTATTATAAGAAATATATGTTGAATTATAATATAATATATATTGTATTGTAAATATGTTGAAATATTTATAGATATACGCTTGTCACCCCTATAGCATATGCTGATCCATACCTAATTTCCAAACATCTCAGGCACGCGTATTGTTGTTTATATTGTAGTAACTAAATTAATGCTCGGAAACGATTGTAGGGAGTTGTTGGGCGTTTTCGACGGTGGCTGCCGTGGAGGGTATCAACCAAATCGTGACAGGGAATTTGACGGAGCTGTCCGAGCAGGAGCTTATCGACTGTGACACAACGTATAACAATGGCTGCAATGGAGGCTTGATGGACTACGCATTCGCTTACATAGTTTCGAAAGGTGGACTTCATAAGGAAGACGATTATCCCTACCTTATGGAGGAAGGAACTTGCGAAGAAAACCGGGTAACAATCTGTGTTTCTTTTCGTAGAGTTTTGAAAAAATTGATTTGATGAGATTTTTTGTGAGATAAGAAAATACACCCTCCCGTCCAACTAGAAAATATATATATTTTTATTTTGGGACGTTCAATTACAAAGTAACTATTTCATTAAATACCCCATTTTTTCCACAAATACCCCTACTTTATATCACATCATTTCTTTTATACCAAAAAAGTAAGGACATAAATGTCATTACACTACTTTTACATGTCCTGCGCCAAAAGTATATTTTTTTCTTGGACGGAGGGAATATATTTTATCGAGAAATGCAAAATTCAAATAGTAGAATCTGAAAAAACTTGACAAAAAATAAGCAGACCCCATGTCTTGTGTTTTAGCCCAACAATACATACAACATTACTAACATTCTTACACGGATAATTTTTCAGGATGAGTCGGAAATAGTCTCCATCACCGGATACCATGATGTTCCGGCCAACGATGAACAGAGCCTCTTGAAAGCACTTGCAAACCAACCATTGAGCGTCGCCATCGAAGCCTCCGGTAGAGACTTCCAATTCTACAGCGGGGTACGCATTCTATACTCGATTATGTTTTCCATAGATATTTTGAACTTCTGATACTCTTTTTTACGAAAGTAATTTTTTCAAAAATTATCTCATCAAATACAATTTTTATCTAACGAAAAAATATACTGTCATGTATACATTTGCATTACACATGGATATAAAGAAATAATAGTATTTAAACGATAGTTTATAGTATTTTTTGTGTGTAAAGATTTTTTTGTCCTCAAATTAACGATAGGTAAATAAACGTAAATTAATTCGAAGGTATTTGTAATATGTAATGCGATCAAATTTAATTAAAAAAATATATACTTTGTATTTAACAAATAAAATATATATTTATAGAATGGACAAAAGAGAATTACCGAATACCTCTAAATTTTTACTATTTTCAAAACTTTTATTAAACGAAGTCTTATTAAATTTAAAATACGACAACTTAGTACAACCAACAAATATTCAAATTGACATCATCATCAACTATACTTAGTGTTATTTCCAACTTTTATTGTTCTGTAGGGCGTGTTTGATGGGCATTGCGGCAGCGAGCTCGACCACGGAGTTGCAGCCGTGGGGTACGGATCGAGCAAGGGCGCGGACTACATTATCGTGAAAAACTCGTGGGGGCCAAAATGGGGCGAGAAAGGCTTCATTAGAATGAAGAGGAACACAGGAAAGCCCGAAGGAATGTGTGGAATCAACAAACTTGCTTCTTTCCCTACCAAAACCAAGTGAAATTAAAATGTCGAATTTGTATCGTGTTGTATTGTGTCTGTGTCCGTGTCCGTGTTGCGTTATTTTTCTAAAAACTTTCATCTGTAACAAAATAAGATTATTCGTACTCTTTCTTATTTTTTTTTTGAAAATTATATTGAATTGATGGACTAAAATTATATTCCCTCTATCGGTTATTGAATTTATATGTAAATTTATATATTGTTTTATATTATTTTAAAATTATATGTAAATCTACATATTGTTTAATGTTATTCGAAATAAACTCAATATTTTACATCATCATTTAATATGTATTTTGTCTCACTTAATTATAAATTTATAGTTATTTCACTGACAAATTTATTATTTTCATATTTAAATATTCTATTTTTATTTAGAATTATTATAAAAAATAAATTCTTAAAACTAATGATATGTTTTCTTTTTTATATATATTTTTTAAATTAAAAAAATGTTTAATTTACTTTAAAGGGTGGGTTTGTTTTAAATTTGTACGTTTGAAATAATTTTTATATTAAATACACAATAAATACCAATAATATAAAAATAATAATTTATATTTAATTATTAGATATATTATATTGATTATGTAAATTTACGTATATATGCTTATGACCATTAGCACTTTTTTCCCTAAAAATTATTTAATTACTGAAATTATATTTTTATAATTTTATTCCTTTAATAAAATAAATTATTAAATAATCAAATATTTAAAAGACTTTTTTGATCATATAAAAAGGGTTTGTTTTTAGAAAAAAAAAAAAAAGATTCGAAACACGAAACACGCTTTTTGTTAAGTTGCAACTTGTAACATTTCTTTAGTTTTGTCTTGGGCATTCTAATTTTTTCAATTTCGAGACTGAAAAAACAAATAATAAAGTGCACAGAATCATGTTCATGCCGGTTGGTTTCTTCGCTGCGAAACTTGATTGCGTGTATCGGTTTCATATATGGAGTTGCGATTTTGTTTCCATCAGCGTGGAATATTCAATACAAGTAGAAAATCGGTGTTGTCGATTGGATGGTTGTGTTTGTATTAGAAGGAAAATGAATGCGGAAATTGATGGTGTAGAATTTTTTTTCATAAAATATCATATTATATTCTAATTTTATTTTTTTAAAAAAAATTTCAAAATTATACGACTTCTAAAACTTTTGTCTAAACAAAGTATTGAATTTTGAAACTTTCAAAATGTAATTATACAAATGAAATCATTTATATAGATGGTTTAAAATAAATTCAAAATATATTAGAAAGATTTTAAAATTATATGTAAATATATATATTGTTTTTTTTGTTATTTAAAATAAAGTAAAATTCTATATATCATTTAATATCTATTGTTTCATTTATAAATTTATTATTGTTCCACTAACTATTTATTATTTTTCATTTCTAAATATTTCATTTTCATTTATGTTTTGTTCCACTTAATTGTTACTTTTATTTATTAAAATATCAACAAAATGTAGTATTTATAAAAAATTAAATCAAAATCTCATTTTAAATTAAGTTAAACCAAACATATCCTATGACTCTAATCAATTATTTGAATGAAGATAAGTGTTTAATGATAACGAGAACTAATGGTTTCATTTACTTTATTAAATATTAATTATTATATCAAAACAGAACACAAGAAAATTATAAAAATACTTCTATTAGTAATTTATACTATTAATACAAGAATATTTATACAAAATATTTTAAATATTAAGTATAATGTCCTAAAAAAATAAATAAAACCCTTACATATATATTTTTTAATACACTTCCACCGTCAATCTATCCATTTACTTTTTTACATATTAATATTTGAATATTAATTATTATATCAAAATATAGTATAAATAAAAAAAACGACAAAACTACTTTTATTAGTGTCTTATAATACTAATATAATGATATTTGTACAAAAAAATTACACAAATTAAAGATATTTGTACAAAAAATTATGATAGTTTTATTGTTAAAAATAACGACGTCAAATACAAATTAATAGATTAGACGATGGACGAAAATAGTAATTTAATTTAATGTAATAATATCAATATAAATTTAAAAATATTTATAATATATAGTATAATTAAATTGACTAAAAAAATTTTAAAATATATACTTTTTTTTTTAATGACGCAGAAATCCGCCCGCTAAAAAAAAAAAAAAAAAAAAGTTAATTCAGATGACCCAAGAATTTGGCTATTTTAATTTTGCTAGTCCTTGGGAGATTATTATTATCAGTATAAAAAAAAATAATATTTTAATTGAATTGTTGTTTTTTTTTTGTAAATATAAATGTACTTTTTATAATATATATAAAAAATTGTTGAATTGAGAAACACAAAATAACCCAATATATATCTTCTAGTTTGTGTCTTTTAAAACATGAAATTAAAAGTAAAAACAAACACACCCTTTAAAGTTAAAATACTGGAAATCCAAACATGCCTAGCCTAGTAGTAATCAAATGTAAATGTAATGAATGGACAGGTAACTTAAAACTAAACTTTAAGAGAGAGAGAAAGTCGACTCTACAAAGTACAACATCATCTCAGATCAGGTCTCACTACTACTTCCAAGATTTAATTAAAAATAAAAATAAAAATAAAAAATTGAAAATGTTAAGTTAAATCCATCCACTCCCTAACTCTTTAATCCACCATTAGAAGAAGATTAATTAATTAATTGATTGATTGCACATACCAACACAGTTAGAAATAACTTAGAGAGAGAGAGAGAGAGAGAGAGGCTACTTACTAGATCAGATCATTTGAATTCATTTCCATGGCATCCCAGGCATGATTTGGGTATGGGTATGGGTATGGGGGTGGCTGTTGTTGTTGCAAACCCCCGAGCTCAAATTCAGAGGGCTCACTCCGCCGCCGCCGCCGCCCGACGACCCGCTATACGTCGGCGAGCTGCTGCCTTTAGATAAGGGCTCCATGTATTTTCCTCCTCCTGTTTTCCCTTCCTTCTGCTGCCCATCTGCTGCTATGAAGCTTCCAACAATTACCTGCACCAGTGCACAATTTCGGATATTATTTTTCAATCCAACAATGAAATAACAAGACAATAATCAAATCAGATCGGAAACAGTACCTGCACCGGAGAAGCAGCAATCAGTAAACCAGCCACACAGCCCCCAAAGACCCTCCCATCGGGTCCAGCCAATGTTGTGCTCAACCCCCCGGTTCTGCTTCGCTGCCCGGCTACTTCCGACAGCATGAAAGATCCCGACAGGGATAAGATATCAAACCGCCCCTACACAGCGCACATGCGGAGGAAACTAATTAACCCTAATTGTAAAAAAGCTTTTACCCGTCAATGACAATGAGAATATAGGCAAAATTTTGCTTATAATCTACTTATGGTTTAAAAAGTGCTCATGACTTAGATAATACGTGAGACTCCCTCGTGTTTTTAGAAAACGTTGCACGTAACACCTTGGTAATATTTTTCTGTAATTTTAAAATTGTGAGGGAAAATTATGCAAAATTTCCTCATGAATTCTAAAAGACAAAAAAGTGTCATGCAACTTCTATAATATTTTCAAAATTACGGGCAGTTTCTAAATCATGAGGAATAATGATGCAATTTTTACAAAGCACAAGTATATTACAAGTAATTTTGCCCATTTGATAAAGCATAATTTTTGCCATTACTAAAAATCATTTCACAATAATTGATTAGCCAGTGAACTCACATCTTAGGAATGCTATAAATTTTACAGATCAAATCTGCAAGTCTTTATGTTTTATAGTCGAAGAACAGAAAATAAAAAATAAACAAACCTCATATGTTGCAGTTCCACCAGAAGTTGCCGCTTGGCGAAGTGTCACATTTGACACGGTACCATTTGCAGAGAGTATACAAACAGTTCTCGGGCCATTCTGAGAAAAAGCCATGATTTTTGAAGAAACATCCTGAAATCAACACCAAAATATTCATTAATGCGTCGTTAGAGTATTATCAACTCTATTACATTCCCAAAAATCAAATATCAAACATGTCCACATCTCAAGTAAACACAGTAAGCAAGAAACCAATATTGGGTCTCCTAGTGGGCTTTTTAAATGGAAAGTGGGTATTCCATGTCGAATTTTTAATGAAAAATTAAGAGTTGAATGTAATCTGTTTTATGCTAACAAAATAGTTATTGTAGCTTACATAGTGCGAAAATGTTTGAGAAACACAAAATTAAGATGAAAAATCATTTCAACTAATTTACAGAAATCCAAACTAATAATAAAAATACATATTTTTACATGTGTATTGTAAGTTTCTGAATATATCTGCCACTCAGTTCTACAGATTATTGCTCAAGAAAAAAGTACAACTCAAAAATAAACTGGAAAAATGAGAATATTCCTTTGACATAAAATAAAATAAGATAATAACAATTAGAAAATAAATAAATAAATTGCTAACCTCTCCAGCCTTCACGTTGATAACATGGGGTATAAATCCAATTCCAGTTGAACCTGCAAAAACATTATTTAATAAATGACTAAAAACTCTGGGAAGAAAATTAAATAGAAAATAAAAAGTTTGAACAAAAAAAAAAAAAAAAAGAACATTACATACACATGGAGAAAAAGAGAATTAAAAATTAACAACACCTCAAAAGGCCATAAAAAATTCAATAATAATACTTGAAATAAGCAACAAAAGCAATCAGCCAGATTATTGTATAGATAAGAGAAAAAGCAACAACTCATAGACTACTATTATCCGTACAATTCTCAATAAAATTCCATCTTTTCTTATATTCTTGAATTTCTTATTTATTCATCAAATACCCTAATAATAAAATTCACACCGCTAGATATATATTCCAGAATCAAATTCAAAAGGCAAGACCAATATATATATATATATATATATATGATTAAAAAATAAGAAGTGGCCATTTGTTGGATTTCCAGAAGCATAAGAGAATAGGAAAAGTTACCATATTCGATGGTGTCAGCTAAGTCTATTAATTTATGCATAAAGAAACAGCATTCCAAAGCAAAGATCTGAACTTTTCCACTCAAAAGAATTCTAGAAAGATCTAAAGAAATTTGAATTTATATTACCTGTAGCTTCGATTTGCTTCTTCTTGTTGCTTGAGCCTGGAGGTCTGCCTCTCTTCTTCCCTGTGGCTGTTGGTAAGGACACAGAGAGCCCCATCGACCCTGCCTGAGCCTGAGCCTGAGCCTGAGGAGAAAAATTGTGCGACTGAGCAGCAACCATGGCCATGGACATGCTACCATCGGTGCCATACTTCCTCGGCCGCCCTCTCTTCCGCTTCTGCTCGCCGGAGTTCGAATTCATCCCGTGCTTCACCACGGCGGCGCCGCCTGAGATCGACTGATAGTGCGGAGACCCCATGGTGTAGGGCACGCACATTTGTTGATCTATCTGAGACTGCGACGCCGCCGGATTTTGAGAACTAGGACCGAGAGCAAACGAATCCAGACTTGCCATTCCACCGCCGCCGCCGCCTGAATCCGACATTTTCGCCGGACTTCCGAAGATTCCTTGTGATAAATCCAGCGGTTACCTGAACAGACGCGATTTGAAAAACCTTAGCCAGATCTTACTGTAGTTACAGTTCACAGATTTGCCTGATTTCGCCATTCTGCTGAAGAACTTCTCATTTCCGATTAGTGAAAAAAACAGCAGTAAATTTCCATTGCTTTCGTCTTCGGTAGATGAAATCAAACCGGTAAAAAAAATTAGAAGCACAAAATCCATAAATGGAGGGAAGATTTTCAATTCAATAAAGCCTCACAGATTCAGCGCAATTTCAACGAAAATTCGAGCGGATCGAGCAGCAAACAGCGAAAATAGCTCAAAATTCAACCCCGATAAAAGCGAAACAGTTCCTAAATTTCCCAATCCTCAAGCATTTACCGTAAATAATAAAAAACTCCCAAAATTACACAGAATAAGCAAGAAATTCCGGAAAATTGGAGAAAAATCACGAACAGCTTACCAAAAAAATAGTGAAAAAATTGTGCACCTGCTGCAGAAGAAGATTAAGAGAGAAAAAATTTAGGGATTGAGAGTGGAGACAGAAAAAGGGAAGTTTTACGGACGAACCTCTTCGTAAAAATTGCTCAGTTAATAAAAATCATTTATTAATATTTTTAATTTTTTCTTTTTAATTTAATTTAAATAAATATGAAAATGAGAAGGTGAAACTTATTCTATCTATTTATTTCTTTTTGTATTCGAATTTTGTAATTATTACTACCTCCCCATCTCATATATCATATTGGGTGTGGTGGTCGTAGACACGAGAATTTAGAATAAATATAATTAGTAAATAATTAATAATATATTAGTAAAATTAATTAATTTATAATAGAACGAACAAAAACGGCAACATAGACATGATAATATTATTAAGTATTAGTTTAAAATAATTAATATTATTAAGTATTACATATAAATTATTTTATTTATAAAATATATAAATTTATTAAAATTAAATCAAAATTGAAAACATAAATTCATATTTCATACATCCCTTAACAATCTATTTATTTTTCCAGGTTCTTCTCGTAACAAAGTATGCATTTTTTTTTAGTAATTGTAATATATACTTAACATTACAAATACTCTTCTAATTTACACAAATACCATTACTTTTATATCATACAATGCTAATAAGATTAATTTGATTTTTTTATAAAATGTAAACGAATAGATAGATATATGACGGATTGAGTAATATTTATAAATTTTATTTTAAAATAAATAAAGGAGAGTAAATTAATAAATTAGTCCATAATTAACATAATAAATATATATATTCCCTTCATCCAGCAAGAAAGTTGTCATTGGCTTTTTTGTGGATTGATATTTGAATATTAATTATGATATCAATACATAATACAGATTAAGAAAAAAAAAACAAAAATATGTTTATTAGTCTCTTATAATACATATACAAATGAGTAAATTATTCTTATAATGTTAAGTAAATTATAATGTAAAAACTAAATGGCAACCTTCTTGCGGGACGGAGGAGTATATAAAATTGTATTATTTTATATTCTACACAATTTTTAATAAAATATTATTATTATTTTCAATAAAAATATTTTTCTTAAATATAAAAAAAGTAAAAATAAATATTTTATAAAAGGCACTGAGTTACTTACGGAATCTCAAATCTCTTTCCACTGTCCTAAGGAATTCCTAAAGTGCATGGCGCCGGATCCGCCTAGCTTGATCCTTGGCGGCGGCTCGAGCTTTCATCGTTAGAAGCGTTCTTTCCTAGCCCCAGTTCCACCATGGCTCTTTTTATTTTTATAATTTTTAATAATTAATAATAAAAATTTTCAAAAATTCTAAATTAAAATGAATAAAATTGAATATTTTAAAAAATAATATAAATGTTCTTAATTAATACTTCCTCCGTCGTTCAAATGCTCACTTTTATTTTTCGGTTGTCATTGAAAAATATTCTCATTTCATTTTTTAAGTAAAAAATTATTCCACTTTTTTACTATAAAAAAAATAAAAAAATTAACAATTATTATTCCCTTTTATAGTCAAATGAGTACATATTTGCGTGATTGAATGAGTATTTATCTATAAACAGTTGATATTAACTGGTATTTGAATTCAAACAATTAATTAAATGTCAACTTTTACCAAATGCACCTTGATTTAGACAAGTTTTGGGAAGTTTTGAAATTTTAAAAATCTAAAAATAGGAAAAAATAAAAGTAAAATATTTACTACAATATTTTGGTGTAATACAAATATATTAGATGTAATATTTTTTTAAAAAATAATGAATAATATCAAATTTCTAAAAACATTGTGTAAAATAGAGCTTCTTTGTTTACATAGGCTATTTTTGAATTTTTGATAGTGTTTATTAATATTTTAAAAAAGAAGAATTAAAATTATATCTAAATTAATGTTAAATTTTAATTTATAACATTTTTCATAATATGTCGTTCCAATTATCGTGTTAATTGGATGATTCAATTTAACTATAATATACTATAAATTAATTATATTATTATTATTATTATTATTATTATTATTGTTGTTGTGCTTGTTGATATTGTCAAGGATAAAATAATAAAAGAGTTTCTACTTATTTTATAAACTATATAGTCTTATGGTGAGTTTGGTATATACTAGAGAATATTGATATTTTTTTGTTTGATAAAATAGAAATTAAAAAATATAAAAAAATATATATATACAATGTATAAAGAAAATATTATTGTAATTTTTATTATATTTGTAATTTGATAATTTACTTTAATAATAATTTAAATATAATATTTTATGAGATTTATATAATATAAAAGTTCTAAAAAAAACATGGTATCGGTGGTTTTTCTATTTGAAAGAAACTCCATGTTTCCTAATTGTCATCTATTGTGGCATTATTAAATTTTATAAAAAAGAATATTTTAAATTGCTGCAAAGAACGACTCATCAAAAGCTCCTCACTCTTTTTTTTGTATTTATTTATAATATTTATTATATTTTTATATTATGTCCATCTCTCTGCCGAACAGGACAGGAGCTCGCACACATGAGACTGACTATGACCGAAAAACTGGAGCAAAAATGTCACTATATGATACTCCCCCCACTTCGAGTCGCACGACACTAATTGAAGTTTTTTTTTCTTAATTTGTAATACATTTTATATAATAATTAATATTCTGAACATGCAAAAAGTAAATGATGTCCTTATAGCCGGACAAAAGTAGTATTTTTTATTAAATTTACTTTTAAAAAAATCATATGACATAAAATGTGAGACGGACAAAAACGCCAACTTAGAAATAGTAAATTGAACGGACCGAAGTATAATTTTTGGTGGAGATGAAAGAAAGAAATGATAATGCAGAAATAGAAAGAAACATATAATCGATTATAATTTTTGATTGAGATGAAAATAAGAGATAATGACGTGGAAATAGAAATAAATTTATAATCTCTTTGTTCGATGCAAATGGTCTAATACATATCACTGATCTTAACGCAAGATATATGTTAAAGACAACATATACATAAGATACAAACCAACAACACATGTGGTACTAATTCAACAAATGTGTTGTAGTCTATATTTTATCAATATGCTTGATTAGGACTAATTAGCATCGCACTTTTAGTATGATTATAAAATAAAATCCAGACACATTATCGATACAATACAAACATTTCCATCACCACTTCTAACATAGTCACACACACACACCTATGCCTGTAAGTAAAACCTCGTAAAAATCGAACCTGAGTAGTGAGTAAGCACAAATTCAGCCAACGGCAGTCTCCTTCAACTGAAGGATAAGGATTCATCTAATCGTCGACACAGCTCAAAGCCTGGATATGCCGGGATAGCGAGTAGCTTTGTTTCGACTCAAACGAGCCAAATAATCTGCAACAAAGGATTAAGCAGTGAGAGCGAAAGATTGATTCACTCTTGATAGCCTCCCCTGGTACGTTTAGGCAACTCATTCTTGTGAAACACAAGCGCAAGTTGATCAATGAAGAGCCGGTTCTGAAGTTGTTCCAGGTTTTGATATTTTCTCTCCATATGCAACTCGGATTCCTCAAAGTTGTGAATCTTGTCTTCTATCTCTTTTATCTGCCGCCATTATGCCCGATGGTTAATAATATACTTCCATAAATTGAAATAATTGACATTGCAATTTCAAAGCAGTTCGACCTGGGTGGCGATTCCAGAAATTGCTTCCTCCAGCTCCTCTTCTTCCTTATTCAGCTGCAACTTCGCTTCAGCGAGAGGTTCTTCGATTGAATCCGGGATAGTGCCATTAGGGGCAGTATCAGATTCGCCATTGGTACCTGGATAAAATGGGAAGCCAGGCCAGGCCGACCTTCATGTTTCTTACTTTTTCAATTCAAGAAAACACCTTGGAGCTCTCAATTGTTATTAACCCGTGGATATTTTAACTCGAATCCTTGGATTTCATATCGGTTTGTTTACTCATGTTTTCAACACACTTCTTTGCATTATGCAAATTATAGTAATAAATAAATAAATTGATTAAATTCCCAAACAAAACATCATTTTCAATGTCTAAATTCTATAAAAAATTTCTTTCTTCAATAAATTCAAATTTAAAACACCATAGAACACAAGTAACAACATTCTACCGGTTAATGAATCCATAATTCAAGTTTAGCGGATTCCTAAATTCTGGTGATGATTCCAAATTTCCAATCCCAATACCCTCTCACCAAATGCCTTCTAACCATTTCTTCCCTAGTGCTAGTAAATCTACAAAATATATATTTGGCTTCAAATCCCTTCATAGCCGGGACCATTAGCTTTTAACTCAACTTGACGAAGTATATTAGCCTACTATTTAGACACAAAGTACCAATCCTAGGAAATTTGAGAAACGAATAGCTTTTATCAACAATTACGTTGCTTTCCAAAGACAGCAAATTCAGATTGGTATGCACCTACTGCTATTTGCTAATTTTATCACAGTTTAAAGGGCTTGTCTTCAATGTTTTCATCAGCTACCTGGCTCACAAATAGTAATTTCGCAGATTTCAATCAGCTAAAGTAAAGCAGATCATGTAGCATCTCGTCCCTCTTCAAAATATGAAGTTACGATTATTTTTTGAAATACGAAAGGAAATCAATTTTAACCACTCTCCCGTGGATTAACAGTCGTAATTCTTATCCTCATTCAATTCCTGAATTAAATATACTTCTTCATTATAAAATTCAGAAAAAAAATTAAAAAAAAAAAATTCATAAAGAAGGCAAATTAATGAGACATATGAGCATTGTCTTTCCGTTTCGCATATGCTAACCACTTGTGAAGTTACCATTAATTATTAAGGCAATTTACATTTGGAAGATTGGCAATGTTAACAGCTTCCGTGCAAAAGATCATAGCAGGGATATCTCCTCACTCAATATTTTTCCAAAATTTATTGCTTCTAGGCATCATTTTTTATAAGCTCGGGCACATTATGAAAGCCACTGTATGCAACTTCAGCATGCCCAAATTACGAATCCATGAGATGTATAAAGCTAATCCATCAACCAAAAAAATAACAATAATAATAATAATAAAAAGAAAAGAATCATTACCTGGTTGCTTTTTATCACCAAAATCTGACAAAGCAGTTACTGCAGCTCTCGCAGCCACTTCAGCAACATCTACTCCCACCAATGTAGAGAGAAAAGCAGCCTGTCCACATATTCATTAAAAACCCCACATGCATACTTGTTATAACACATCAAAAGGAAAGGAAAAGGCAACTATTTCAGTTTTAAATTCTACGCGAAATCGATAGGATTTGCATAAACTGATGCTACTTTCAGCATCTACGGGAAACAATCCAAATATATCTATCTAAAAGACCATAAATAATACTCACTCCATCTACCAAACATGTCTTTTCTTTTAAAAACACAAAATACAATTTTCATCTATAGCAAAAATATAAAAAAATAAAAATTATTACATACTCTTTAATTTATACAATTTAACATTATACTTATCAATAAACATGCTACAACCTTTACACACTCAATTTATTCCAAAACTTTTCGCATTTCATTAACTCACTCATATGCTTTTCAAAAATATCTTACTTAATGTCACAATCAACAATATAATACTATATTCAATAAAACTCATATCCAGCTCAAAAAAACTTATAATTCGTGGATGGAGGGAGTAGTTATTTCAGAAGAATGAAAGTATTAGCTACCTGCGCCATTATTGGGTTACTTGCATCAGCAAGAGGTGAGAGCCGTATCCTTTTTGCCGGCGTCGCAACATTTTGCATACCTAACTCTACATCCGGCTCACTGGATTCTGGAGGACCGGCAAACTGCTGGCCAAACGGAAGCTTTATGAATCGTGCAACACATTCCTTCCCAGTTCTCCCACCAACATGCTCTGCCACTTTCTTCCAATCATCCCCATAGTGCATTATAGCTTCAAGAAGTTGCAACGTCTCTTTATCACTCCAATCTGTCTTCCCCTCATCCGTAATCTCAACTCGCTTAAAATCCGATGAATTCATGCCCACCCGATAAGCCCCCCGAACGAAGCATCTTGCACAGAGAGTCATGTCATGCTGCAACACAATTAAAGAGGCAAATAAAGAAACAGATGCTTGGCCAAAGATCAATCGAAATCGCGACATTATCGCTAACTAGCTTATGGTGATTGCTAAGAAACTCAATCTACAATTTTTTTACAGGATGCATAAATGATAACCAACTGCTTCATTGAGTAAGAAATTTGGAAGTAAAATCACACCTTATCAGCGGCAAAGCAGGCAATGGTGCAAAGAGCCTTGCACGCACTGCATATCCTCTTCTTTGGAACAACAACATCCGCCCCATCGCCGCCGTGCGCGGCGGACTTGGTCTCCTTATCTTCCCATTTCAGCTGAGGCTTCTGAGTAGAGCCGGAATAATTAATCAACCCCCAAGCTTCGAGGAAATCGAAAACCCTCCGAATGGATCCAACGTCACCGACAATTGCTTTCCGCACCTCCGTGAAAGTAATCTTCCGGTTAGGATTCTCGCGGAAGCGCCGTATGATCGAATTCCTGTAGTACTTATAAACCTTAGGGTTCTTCGAGGGCGACCTGCCGTCAAAGAACTCTGGCACGAACCTAGCCTCGCATTCATGAATTCCGTTCCACGAAAACCACCCTAAATAAATCAACGCAACGATTAGAGGATATTATATCAAAATCAACCTCTTTATGAAAATTCGATAGAAAAATCCCCCCACGAGAATATGTCGGGATGTGAATGACGTCGGCGTCGGGTTCGGGAGGACGACTAGCAACGGTAGCCGAAGAGGTGGTGGTGGCGGCGGCTGGGGTTGCGGTTGCGGTTGGGGTTGGGTTTGGGGTAGCCGTAGCCGTAGCCGTAGCCGTAGCCGTAGCCGTAGCCGTAGCCGTAGTAGAAACGGTGGCGGTCGACGATGCAGCAACGGTGGTAGGGGCAGATGCCGCGACTGTACCGGCGGACAATACAGCAACGGTGGCGGCGGACGACGCAGCAACGGTGGCGGCGGACGATGCAGCGACGGTGGTGGCGGAGGACTCAGCGACGGTGGCTGTGGGGGCAGAAGGCGGAACGTCTGCCGTCGGAGCTGTGGAAACGGTGGAAGGGATCTCCGGCGAGGGTTTTGGCTGAGTCGTATCATCAGTCGCCATTTTTAGGTTTTTTTTTTTAACTAGCAACTCAGCAAGTTCTCAATATGTACACACCACTGGGGTACAATCTCTTCAGCGGAGCGTACAACGACTCTAAATAATCGTAACATGTTCGAGAATTTTAACATTTTCTTTTGAACTATTTTTGGCTCCGTCAAAAATTTGACAACAATAAAAAATTATTATTTGATGCCAAATTTTGTAAAAATTATTGACGATGAATAGTAATAAATATTCTAAAAGTACCAATGTAAACAGATATCGGGTTATAATTTTGCCATCAAGTAACTTAAAATGTCCATACGAGACCCAAAAAATCATCGAAAATACGAGTGCTCAAAACAAGCCTAACACAACAACACAAATCGACGCTTTGACATCAAAGCCCGGCAACGATACATACAAAATGCCATTGACAAAGAATAATCGCGATAAAAATAGATAAAAGAAAATGTCTTTCCTAACAAAGACTCGAGCTTTCTTTCATATCTTGAAGCGAGGCTCTATATTAATAGATACTACAAGCAATCGTTCGACTAAAATACGAACCCTAAAATCGGATTATTATGCACAAAGACCCGACGACGAAGATGCTGACCCGACTTTTAAATACAATGCAGGATGCAACACGACATGATCGACACCAGAGCAACTTAGATCTATCTATCTATCTATCTATTACCCAGAATGTTGGGGTTTCGACTCGACTCCCGTCTATAGAACAGATAAAAGAATCATATCTTGATTCTACCATTTACACAGATTTTCGATTTTTTTTTTTTTAAATCTAGAGGCCAGAATACCTCTCCGGCCACAAGACAGGCGAGTGATGCGACGCTCTTCCAGCCATCCAGAAGGTTGGCAGAGCGTATATACACGTGTTTTTCTTCTTTTTTTTTTTTCTTTCTTTTTTATACGTACATGAAAGTCGAGGATGAGCAATGCACACACCCTCGTTTACGTCTTAGTTCCCTCCCTCGAACCATCAGGAGGGACTCGGACGTTAATAAACTTCTCTGGTGAGCGAGACTCACGGTGTAAGACCTGCGCAAGGAGTTAAAGTAAAAATTAAGGAAAAATAATCAAAACAGGTCGGGCCGAGGAGAGCTGAAACCCGAGATTTACCTCTAGAATGCAAAACGAATAATTTGCAAGGCTAGATTTGAAGCCCGCCAATCGAGTGGCAGTACCACTGTTCTTAGTCCTGCTGCAATCTAAGGGAACCTGAAATTTTGGATGGTATAGTATACATTGGTTTCGTTCGATTTATTACAATCTCGAGGCATTAAAAGAAATATAAACGGGAAAACTGAAGGCTGAAACATACCTAGATCAAACCCTCACCCGGCATTTTGGTCAGAACCGCTGCCCGGCATGAATTGAGGAGAATGCACGGGTAGCATGAATTGCGGCTGTTGTGGAATTGGAGCTGCGCCTGCTATGAAGAATTATAGATTAGAGTAATTAAAGAAAAAAGACAATTTACGGATCAAGCGTCAAGCTAAAATTGGCGAAAAGAATCATTTCTGTGCAAAACAGCAGACAGGAAATTATAGATTAGAGTATTTAGAGAAAAAAGGCGATTTACGGATCAAACGTGAAGCTAAAAGTGGCGAAAATAATCATTTTTGTGCAAAACAGCAGATGGGAAATTATAGATTAGAGTATTTAAAGAAAAAAGACGATTTACGGATCAAACGTCAAGCTAAAATCGGCGAAAAGAATCATTTTTGTGCAAAACAGCAGGCGGGAAATTAGAGATTAGAGTATTTAAAGAAAAAAGATGGTTTATGGATCAGGCGTGAAGCTAAAATTGGCGAAAATAATCATTTTTGTGCAAAACAGCAGACGGGAAATTATAGATTAGAGTATTTAAAGAAAAAAGACAAGTTATGGATCAAACGTCAAGCTAAAATCGGCGAAAAGAATCATTTTTGTGCCAAATAGCAGACGGGAAGTGCAAATAAAGCACGACGGTAGTGTAATATGGGTGCAACATTCGTGCGTCCAAGATGTGTAAAAAAACCAAAATTTTTCACCTGCGGGATACGGCGCCGGAAGAGCCGGAACAGAGGTGGTTGTCAGTGCATTAACGCCAGGTCCGCCAAACTGGACTATCTGATGACCGGGCATTGTGTACCCGGGCAATGCAGTGTAGCCATGGCTTCCGGGAACGCCCTGGCTCAGCTGATTATAAGAATACATAGATGTGTTAACCGCCCCGGGAACACCGTAAATCTGAAGGTATTGCTGATTTCCGTAGGGACTGTAAAGGCCCTACACAACAAAAACAACTACCGACTGTTAAAAATGATTACCAGTTTGCCGTCTATTTAATAGAAAACGTTTCACTGACCTGAGAATAAGCGTACTCGGGACTGTATGCAGCATACCTACATACATTCACAGGGCTATAAACATTTCGTTGTAACAAAATGACGATGAAATTCAACCGAATGAAAAATGGTACAAAAACAACTAAAACCCGCCAATATCATGGCTCACCCGTATGGAGAATACATCAAGCCTTGTTGGAATCCATAGCTAAGAGGTTGCTGATAGCCGAAATTCCCGATATAAGCACCTCTAGCAGTTGGCATGCCTCCGAGGTTAGGTGTCGGAGTTCTGAGGCGACCTGTAAGCATACGAAAAGAACATTTGGTTATGCTCGTCTTACGTATATACCATAATCAAAAAAGAGCTCGTCTTACAGAACAAATGTTCAAAGAACAAATACTTTCAACCATTCCTAGGTTTTCAATATTGGTAGAACCCTTTACGCCAAGAATCCGTTCCATTAATAAAAGTGGAGAATCTTCCAAGAACTCACTAACATCATTTTTTCCGAATTCACATCATGAACAAAGTACATTGTGGTAAATTAACGAAAAGAACATCATGATTGAGCATAAAATTTAACGAGCAATCGAGAGGGCATATCATAATTACCAAAAGGAAATGCCGGACGAGGCCTGCCAAGCGACGCCAAATTGCAATTGGCTCTTCTACCATCAATAATCGGCGTAGGATCGGCGCAAGCCCTCCTGGCAGATTCGGGATCCCGGAAAGTCACCTAAAACCCTCCACACAAACACCATTTCGGGATCAAAGTCATTCAACCATCCTCATTTCAATCTCATGTATATTTAACTACTAAAAATTGCATTTCACAAACAAATGGGAACTGAAAACAGATTCATCCACAAGACAAGCAGCATTAGTTCACAAAAGTTGGCAGGAACCCTAATATATAAACTAAAGAGGAAATCATAAATCAATGGCGGAAATTCTCAATCAAGTTAACAAGTGCTCACAAAACCATATCCTTTGGATCGGCCAGTGTTCTTGTCAGTGATGACGACGGCCTCGAGAATCTCCCCGAATTGCTCGAAATAGTGGCGCATAGTCTCACTCTGCGTCTCCCAAGCCAAACCTCCGACAAAAACCTTGGTGAAAGTGGTGTCCCCGAATGGCGAATTCACGTACTGGAATCCGCCGGAGCCGGCCGAGCTCGGCCCGGGCAACGGCGGCGGCTGCTGCTGCTGATACGCCATGAAAGCTCGCTAGAAACACAACTTATAAATATCGAAGCTTCTACGAAAAGAAGGGGGAGGAAATAGAGAAGAAAATCAAGGGTTTCTGAGAAACGAGTACAGCAGATGGATCGGCGATTCAAGTTATACGAAAGTCGATCCAATGGAGAGAACGTAACATTTTAACAGGAAAACCTTCGAAAAACCCTAGCGACGGCTGAAAGCGATTGGAAAGCCATCAAATCCCCTTTTTTTTTCTGTAGATTATATATATCTATCTATATATATATATATTATATTTCTCTATCTCTGTGTGAATAGGGAAACAGTGAGTGAACGAATTCGAATTTGAATTTACAAAGAGAAGAATGAGAAATCACGAAACTACAGAGATCAAGAAGAGGGAGAAACAGAGCCCAACAACACCATTTTTTTTCTTTTTTTTTTTTTCTTTTTTTAAAAAAATAAAATCAACAAGAACAAAGGCAGCAACTAGAAGAAATGAGGAAACCCTAATTTAAGCACGAAAAGGCAATAGAACGAAAATAACAGCAGTCAAAAACGAAAAATTGAAAATCGAAAAGAGCGAGAGTGGGGTTGGATCAGCTGTACAACAGGGGAGCACGTATAGGGTATGATTGAGGGAGGGGGGGTGGAGTGGGTGAGGTATGGAATGCGGGGGGGTGGGGAAAAGCCGAAAAGGTGAATCATCAACAGAATTCAAACACTGTTCCTCAAATTCCACGAAGAACTTCAGTAAAACAGGGGGGGTTGGGAAATTAGGGTTAATTGGGGAAGAAGAGGAGGGTTTTGGGCATGATGAAATTGGGCGTGGGGACTGGGAGAGGGTGGTGATGATGGAGGGAGATGATCCGGAACAGAGGTGTCATGATTTCCCCCACCCTCCTTTCTAACGTGTAGGATTCAATTTTTGGATGGATTTACAGAGGCGGATGACGAGGAAGACGATGGAGAAGGAGATGGAATTTTGGAATTGGGAAATTGAAGAAATTAGGGATTAGGGATGGGGACAGTACAGGTGGCTTTCCGTTTCCAAACATGGAAGAAAAATACAGCTTGGAGCGGGCCCGGACTCGTCCGCGGGTCCCACGCTCCAGAAATAAATATTTTGAAATTCTGGAAAATTTGAATGAATATTATTATCCATAAATCGTTGTAATACACGTCATTAAATTTATTTGAAAATTTTAAGGATATGTTAATCAGTTAATGTGATGTCGGTAATGCTCAGCGCGGACGTGTTTGCATTAGACACCGCTGTCTTATGTTTATTTTATTGCTCTCTCGGTTCTTCTACTGTCTGCCTGGGGTGTATTTGTTCGAGGGATTTGACTGCATTTTCAATATTCTTACTAAATATTATTTTCAAAAATATAAAATTAATTTTTATTTTTTATTTTTTATATTATATAAAAAACTAATTTTACATTCAAAATATTACATCAATTTTTATTTATATACTATTCAAATTCAAAATTTTTACTATTCAAATTTCACCCCAAAATTCCAACCTCAAACAAACACACCCTTGGTATGACATGTTCTTCCTTTCGTTGAGTTTAATTTGTCTATTATTTTTATCTGTCTATTTTACATAAATTGTTTTATTTTTAATATATACACTTTAATTATATTTTAAAATTTATAATTTATAATTTTTTTATTTAATTAGTTTAGTATTAATTTATAATTATTTTTACTAATATACTTCTGAATAATTACTAATTACATAATATCTAAACCTACGTGCCACCTAATTGGGACAAATTAATTTGGACGGAGAGAATATTATTTTAAAAATTATGTACTATATCTAAATTTTATTTTAATATTTTTAATTTATATTTTTTAAAAAAATTTAATTAAATTAATTAGTGAATTTAATTTTAACTTATAAATATATATTATATAATAATTATTTTTATTAATATATTTTAAATTATTTATTAATTATACTTCTTCTAATATCTATAGTAACCCATAATTTTAACTTATAAATATATATTATATAATAGTTATTGTTATTAATATATTATTAATTATT